CCCGCGCCCGCGGCCGCCCTCAGGCCTCGCACCCAGGTCAAGCCCTTTACCAAGGAGTCGCTTGAGCGGCTTGAGAGGAAAACTGTGCAACTGGTGCGCGAGTACGGCTTTCAGCCGAGAAGGAAACTCAGTGTTGAGGATGGCTCAAGGCTGCCGGCCAAGTTCGAGCCGTTCCCCGCCAAACTCTACGGCAGACCGCTCGAGGAAATAGACAATTTCATTTATGACGAGGTAGGCGAAGGCCCTGGTCAGCGACCACGGAAACGGGACAAATTATCCTGACGGAGGATCGATACTTAATGCGGTTATTATGTTGACGTTGTATATATAAACAAACATCAATATTACAACGGATTTTTACCAGCGCGCTTTCACAAGACGGAAAAATATCGATCACGAACGCGGAACTGCCGACCCTACTTACTGGGTGTAGTGACACTCGACACGAAAATTCCCTTTTTGTCATTACAGTATTATAACGTTATTTTGTAAAATTCATCAGTATTGACTCCAAATTATACACCTACTGAACTTCTCTTAGATCTTAATTTGTATATGTACTTACAAATAAATCAGCTTTGTGATTTTATTTTGGCAATTACGCTTTTATGATAATAAAACACAAAGCTAGAAATTATGTTAAGCTGAGTTTGAGCTATAAGAATTTCTTTTATGATTTCTTCTTTGGTAGTTGAATAGAGATCTATAGTTTCAGTAACCACCAAAAATTTAAAATTATGACTCCCAAAGTGTAATCTATTACGCCAGGCATTTATAGTCTGTAGTCTACAAAATCTGTCTAGTTTACTTTATGACATAGTATACTTTGTTTGTTTGGGAGAAAATAACAAGCATATTCTAAGCATAAACAAAAATTACTTAAATAAAATAATATACCGGGTGCGGCATCCGTTGAGCCCAGAACAGAAATCCCCACTTCTAATTAAATAAAATTGTTGAATTTTTACCTGGGCATTGGTAAGGTACATTCCATAATTTTTTGATAGTTTTTCATTTGCAAACAAAGCCAAAAAAAACAAAAAGTAATTTTCTCCCAAAAAGTTTAATTCTAATTTTTATACTGACCTACGCAGATTCACATCCTACAATTGTTTACAAAATCATAAAAAACATACCTATTAGATTTTGACTTAAACGCAATTTTCTATCTTAACTTTGAAATTCATTTTTATTTATGACCTGCTACTTGTGCTATCGTGAATTTAGGTGACAATGGGGAACTGCAATTGGGGTAAGATTCCAAGGTTTACAACAAAAAGACCCTTCAAAGCGGTCGGCTACCAGTAATTTATAATTTATAGTATAATTTGTTGGCAAATTATACCATTTTGTCATAAATCACGGGTCTGGTTTGTGTTTAAATAAAAAAAAATATTATTTGACTAACCAAGTCAAAATTAGAAATTGTAATATCAAAGTTTAATGCGCTGGCAGGTACAGATTCATTTAGTGTAAAAACTTTATAGGTAAATTAACAGAAAGTATTATATACCCTATCAATATAGGTATATGAAATATCGCCTGTTTTAATTAATTAGAAGTCGCGATTTATAAATGCGCGTAACCGATGCCGCACCCGGTACAGGGTATTTCACGAGTGATAATGAGCCTGACGCAATTGAAAATACAACCAACAATACATTTGCAAAGTTAACGTGGATATTTTAGACATCGCATTGTTTAAAAAACCGATTATGAATCCACGATAGCTTTGCTTCCAATAATTTATTTGTCACAAATGACATTAAATTTAGCAAAAAGTCAAAATGCATTCGAACGAGGAGAAAACAGATCTGATTTTTATTTATAGCGAATTTGGGGAAAATGCTTCTGCCGTTGAACCTTTGTAAAGACAATGTTTCCTGCATAGAAAAGCTCCAAAAAGGCTTGAATCATTAAAGTGTTTTCCAGTGGTAGTCTTTTTTTTTTAATGGAAATTACCAAGTCAAAATTTTGGTGAAAAAATTGGTTGCAGCTTGTCTCCATAGCCACAAATTTTGTTTGCTCTTTGTTTTTGTCCCTACAAATTTTGTTAAAAAATTATGGTTATGTGTTCAAATTGAGATGTTGTCAAAATTTTGACTTTTATGAATCTTGTGTGCCTGTTTGCTCTTTGAAAGCACTATAATTGAATACCTGAGGACAGACATCATTACCTCAGGTCCAAAGACAGAATTCAGTGCTAATAATTTTGACAAAAACATACCGCAAGTAAGTACAATGTTGTGGACAAAAATGAGATTCTTGCTACAAAAACTTTGAAAAAAAAGGATGTATATGTATACAGAAGAATGTTATTTAGCAAAAGATACAAGTGGGTATTATGATGATTGGCAAGAAATTTTGTGTAATTTATTGAAATGAGCTCAAAGTTGATGCATTTTATAAATTCTTCTTCAGCTTTAGTTTCAAAATTATTACTTTTTCAACTCATTCATCTAAAAACGATGCACAAGACACTAATTTAATTGCGTTCTTTCCGAGGTTCTTTCTCATTCATGTTTATTTTGTACTCTTGTCGATTTCTTGCTAAAAATTAAGAATATTCAGCAAACCTGCATTACAAATTGCGTCTACATTTTAACGGGCCCTTTTTCTAACTTCCTGCTTGCGAACTATTCGTTTTCAAATTTCGAAAAAACTGTTAGTGTACCCAATTTGTTTCTTTTTTGGTGTTTCGTTTCTAAATTTTCTTAGACGATTTTTTGTGTTGACGTTTAATGACATTGTTTTCAAATTAATTCAAAAAACGGGAACTGCCAACTTCCTTTATTAAAATTACCATGAATGAATTTACTAGTGATGCCAACGTTAAGACTGTTTGGCATTTCCATTAAAAAAAACAAACTTTAGCTGCTTCAGCATTTTGTGGAGAGGTTGTAGATTATCAGCATTCGACATTTTGTACTACAAACTACACTAATCATTCATAGTTAAACCAATAAACACTTTCGAAAATCTATCTCAACACATATTCCGAAACTGACGCATGACGTTTTTTATGATTTCATTGTAAATCCCCCCATTCTTTTATTCATTTACTTGCTAATTATAATGTTGCTCTTTACTCGCGATCTGAATTCGTCTCAGCTGAATTATTTGTCTCACTGCGTTTCGCAAAATAAACGTTCAGCTTTGCCACATAAACTATTACTCCTAATATACTATTAATATGGGGCCTAATATACTATTAATATGGGGAAGTTTTAATATACGAGTGGCTTATTATAAATTTTAATAAAACTTTACAGATTTCTTATGTTGTGGCGACCTTCTTTAATAAAAAAATGCTTACGGAATTACAAAAAAGGTTTAAATCCCTAAATTTTAGTAAAGTCTAGATACGTCACTGGTTTGTGCAGTAATAAATCATTAACAGCAATAAATTTTAACATAACATTTTTCATGTCACTGCACTTCATTTGTACATACTATGATTCTCAGTTGGTGATTAATTGCATTCTGCAATATTCAGACTAAATGATTTTTAAACTTCCAACTCGATGTTTATTAGGAGTATTATTCTTGTTAATCCCAATTTTTGCCATAAATTAGCTCAACAAGAAATTATTAATTATTGAGACATCTACGGCGAGTCTTAGTTACAGTTGGAGACAAAATACTTTGGTCGTCATTTTTCTGACACTTTAATGTAATTCAAGCTTTGACGTTAAAATGAATGACAATTTCAAATTAATGACAGCTATTATATTTTCCTATCAAAAATACAGGGTGATTCTTAAATAGACCGACAAAATTTTATCACAGCTTCCCAAGGATATACGAAGACAAACTGTACCCTTTTCACGTTTATATCTTTTAGGGGCAAAACCCCCTTGATCCGTGCCACTTACGGCGTTTATGAATTGTTGCAATGATCAAGTGTATTTTAATCAAATTAATACCATGGTTTCCAGAACACATCAGTGGCGTACGCTTTACCTCGAAAATAACTTTAATAAATTTTATTTAGAGAACGGTTAAACAAAGAATTTTTTAAATATTTTTTCCAACATGTTCTTATTTGATACTACCAAGGATAAAATTTTGTCGGTCTATTTAAGAATCACCTTGTATGTACATACAACTTGTCAACTGTCATTGACAGTAGCTAAAAATAAGGTTAACAGTCCTAAAGCATGCTTTACAATTTAATGTCACTCAAGTGACATTGACGACCAAAGTATTTTGTCTCCAACTATACAAACAGAAAAAATATGTTATAAACTCTCCACTTCTATTTATTATAATAGTATTAATTACAAAGCGAACTAACATGAGGAAGTGATTTATCCACTCCTTACTCCACGTTGTGCATTATCTGCTTATCGGCAGCAATTTTTTTGTCATTACGTTGACAACTGAATTTATGGTACGATCGACAAAATCAGTAATTACCAGATGCAACTCAATTAAGCTGATACAGATCTCTCCGTGCTCCGGTTCAATTCGATGCGGGGTGACGTCGTGACTAATTGAACCGGGAAAAGGGTTTCCGCAACGTATTTTTAGCGCGATGCCTGGAATTGAAGATAGAACATTGTGGACGTTTATAAACCATTTTGCGTTTTGGAATTCAATTTTACCATACTCGCAAGAGTAATTAATTAATAAATGATTGACAGGATGGTAAATTTAATCACGAAAACAGCTTGGATTGGATAAATCTAATTTTAACGACTACAATTAGAAAACTAAAAGTTCTCTTTAATATTCTGACTCAACTTTTTGTGGACACAGTTATGAAACAGTTATTTTTACGTTACAGTGGGTTTTACGTCAAAGACTAAACATTAATTAACGACTAAAGAATAAATTTAATAAGCTTAAAAAGAGAGTGATTCGGTAAAACCCATGCATTGTGCTATTACTAAAACTTGGCAAGTGAGGCAATAACTAATGACAATCAAATTTAAAGTTATAATTGTAATTTTAGTATTTACATATTTACCATTTGACATAAATTTTTTGACATTTGACATTCTATTATGTCTATTTAATGATACTGATGATGTTGTATATGTTTTTTTTTACAATTATTTAGTAAAGGCACAAAAATTTTGCCAATAAAAGCCACAAATACGAGTAACATTGAACAAAGTTACAATTTAGGATACAGCTTCCTTGTTAACTCTTTTAATAGCCTATAGCAAAAAAACTTGAAAAATTATTTTTTCAACAGAAATAAATAGTCAAAGTTCAAAATTTAA